ACCTACTTCACAGCGCTGTTGTGTCAGATGAGTACTTTCATGTTCAAGCCCTCTATAAACCTCGAGATGCTACTAAAAAAACTAAGCTAACATTATAGAATATCTACATGTTTCACAGTTTTGGTCACATGCTTAAAACCATGTTCTTGAACAAAGGGCACATTTCTAAATGTCAAGAATCCAAAACAAGAGATCTGAAATCAGACACTAATAAGAGCTTCATTACATAGTCTTGTTCCTGAAAGAAATCTTAAATCCATTTCTAATTTTCTTTTTTGAGCATTTACTTTATTTTTAATTTTTTAAAATTAGGCATGTGTCTGTATATGTGCATATGAGTGTGGGTGGCCAAGGGTGTGGGATCCCCTGGAGCTGGAGTTATAGGTGGTTGTGAGCAGCCTAATGCAGATGCTGGGAACTGAACCTGGATCCTCTAGAAGAGCAGTACATGCTCTTAACCATTGAGCCATCTTTCCAGCCCCAAAACATTTTTTTTTTTTTTTTAAAAAAAACATGTTAACATGAATCCAGGAGAAAAACTGCCTCTGCTAAAATGAAATCTTCCCCCAAATCCCTACTGAATATTATAGCGTCTGTGAGCATGGGTAGGGAGCTATAACAGCCTTACCACACAAAAGGAAAGCTTTTCATCCCTTCTCCAGCCACACTCCCTTGCCAGGCCCTTTGATCTCTTCTTTGGGGAAACCTCAGCTTGTAAAGTCCTCAACAGCCAGTCCCTACTCTCCACAGCTCTTACCCAACCTGCCCCACCACTTTTGCCCTCAGCTCACACTGGGTCACAGTCTGAGCTCTCTCAGTCTTTGCAACTCTCACTCACCAAGACCAGGGAGCACTTTTCACAACCTTTTCTGAAGACACCCAGCATCTGGGGCAGGGGGCTGCATCTGGGGTGGGGGCTGCCAGGCTGTGGCCATTCTTGCATTCATCTCTCCAAACAACACTTGCAGGTCTGTTACTGTCCTAAATACTGACAAGTCAGCAAAGAAGACCCACACCACTCTAACAAAGCTCACAAGATGAGGGAGGGGACAGATACACAGCAGAAACATCAGCAGAGTTAAACTACGCAGGGTAGGACAGAGAGTGACAGGTCACTGTTCACAGCTGAGCTGGGGAGGAAGCAAAGAGCTATTGAGGCCGCTGAATGGGGTCCCAAGGGAAAGGAGGGCCCATCAGCAAACAGGAAGTTCTTACCACGGCTGTAGACCAGGCAGAGGTTTTGTTGGGAATGTGGCTGATTGTCTGACTAGAGGAAGAACACCAGCCAGAGAGACAGGAGGGGAAAGAGGGTCACATGAGATTAGTTAAGGCTGCACAGACCTGAGCTTCTCCAAATTTACCACACTGCTTTACGTGTGATCATTTAAATTGTGCTTCTTGGGGTGCAGCAACAGCTCAGTGGCTAGAGCGCGAGCACCGGCTGCTCTTACAGAGCAGAGAAACCCAGGTTTAATCCCCAGTAACCATGTGGCGGCTGACAACTGTCCCTCAGGTTCCAGAGGATCCGGCACCCTCTTCTGTTCTCCTCAGGCATTGTACAACATGGGTGTACTTATGTACGTGCAAGCAATACACCCATATGAATTTGAAAGAAATATTTTTTTAAAGTCTCAACTTAGTGATTGGAGGCTCTGTGTCTGCGTATTCCTCAGTGATGACAACCATGCCCCACAGCGGATGGGCATTCAAATATTTAGTGAGTAAAAATCAGCAAGATGTAAACTCAGAAATCTTGTCCTCCACAGGTGGAAGGCAGGAGGGGGATCAACTGCTCACAGGCTTTCACTAAAATGAGGCCTGCGGATCTTCTGTGAGATCACATCAGAATGCAAGACCCACTTGTGTCTCTCCAAGAAGGGAGCAGAACAGTTGGTAGAGTGTTTGCCTAGCATGCACGATGTCCAGGATTCTACCCCCAACACTGCATAGACTGGATGTGGTGGCTCACATCTATAATCCCAGTGCTTAGGAAGGAGGCAGGAGGAACACAAGTTCAAGGTCATTCTTGGCTACATGGGGAGTTTGCAGTCTCAAAACAAATTAAAAATGAAGCAGACATGCAGAGCCCAGTGTAAGAGCTCAGGGATGGGAAGTTGTAAAATATGGAGGAAGTGGGAAGGGTCATTTCTGTTCAACCCATGACTCATCAGTTCTCCTGAAACTTGAGGAAACTAAATCCAGGAAGAGTCCAAAAACTCACTGCCTGCTCAGCTTAAACAGAGAATAGCTACTGTTAAGAACGGCTGGAAGTCACAGCTTATTCCGGACTTTCTAACACTGGCTATTGAAACTTTCCACATTTCTGAGTGTTTGCAGCACAGAAAACAGGAGAAGTGCTCAAATGACCTCAGGTGCCTAAAGACCCAGACGTGCCTTTATGAACACGTGCACCAGCCCGTCCACATCACAAAGCAGTCACGACTGGAGACGCTCATTTCCAAGCCAGCTCAGCACCACGTGCTGTTGTCACACACAAACGCACCACCCACTGTTCCTTTCCAGACCTATGTGGTCTAACAAATGAAGCAAAACACTGAGTTGTGAGATGAAATGAGAAGTGATGACAGGAACACAAAGACACAACCCCCGAGGAGCATGATCAAAAGTCAACTGTACACTTAAAATTACAGCTTTGCTAATTAGCATGGGCAGTTCACGCTCAAAACCTGAGCCTGTTGTGAAGTCTTAAAACCACTCTAGTTCTCAGTGCTTGCTGTGGGTGCAAATGCTCCAGGAGATACGGGTATGTTTCACCACAGGCCTCAGCACACTGTTATATAATGCTGAGCCTCATTCTTGTTATTTGTCTGGCCTTGAAGGTACTTACATTTTTCAGGTCCACTCTAAAATGACTCTGGAAAATGCTGCGTAAACATCATGATGAATAAAGGCTCAATTTTCACTGATACCAGCAGCCCCAAAAATAAAACATTTTCCTTACATTCATCATTCATTTCAGAGTATTCTCGGGGATAATAACTACCTGCAGGGCATTCTGCACACAAGAGGCAGTTTACAAGAGTAGGCCGGGCGTGGTGGCGCACACCTTTAATCCCAGCACTCAGGAGGCAGAGGCAGGCAGATCTCTGGGAGTTCAAGGCCAGCATGGTCTACATAGTGAGTTCCAGGACAGCTGGGGCTACAGGGAGACCCTGTCTCAAAAAGACCCACCCCCACCAAAAAAAAGAAAAAAAAAGAATAGTCAGAACCCAGGGAGTTAAACACAGAAAATAGACGCCTGCTCCACAGCCATGAGGTGTTTTGCTATACCAGTGCTGTCTACCAATGCTACCTGGCACCCTACCAGAAGCCTGAACAGTGGGCCCACCTGACCATCAACCAGAATCTTTAAACCATGAGGTATAAGCAACTTTTTTCTCTTGATGTAAGTTAATTTCCTCCAGCCTTCCATTACAGTGATGGAAAACTGACACAGAAAGGTAAGGAAGAATGGTACTGATCACAATTCTGTCTGGCTTTTGTAGAAATGCCAAAATCTGAACAGGATCAACTGTAACTGTACTCAAGGTGTTCCTCTGTTTATGCTACGGCATCTGTGAGGTGGAGATGGGTTTGTCTTGGTCTCCTTGCCTCTTGCTGTGGTAAAATACCCTGAGAAAAGCAACTTAAGGAAGAAAGGTTTGCTCGGGCTCACAGCACAGTGCACTGGCTATGACAGTGTGAAGCCCCAGCAGTAGGAACTGGGGAGCCTAGCACGCAGCATCCACAATCAAGTAGACAATGTGATGCTAGCGCCGGCTACATTCTGTCTTATACAGTCCCAGACTCCCTACCTAGAAAACTGCCCACAGTAAGACAGATCTTCCCACACGAGTTATTATAATCAGGAAGATCCCATAGGCATGCTCAGAGGCCATCTCCAGGTGATTCTAGGTTCTGTCTAGTTGACAGTGAACACAGGGGTACTGATCAGACACTGGCCTAGCAGCTGTGGTAGAAGCTGGACATGCACTGAAATGCCTGTTGGAATCTGTCTCACACTCACACATGTGCTACCTTGCCATGTGTAGGCATTCACGACCAATGGCACAAACCTTGTTGGTGTGGTCAGGTGCCAGCAGACAAAAGCCCCCTCTGAGGTCAATTCTGTACAGCTTCTTATGCCTTGGTGGTTAGGGTTAGGGTGCCCTCAGTGGTAAGTGGCTCTCAACAGCCATGTACCAACTTTCCCTCCTTTCTTGTTTTCTCTAGTCCTTTCCTGTTCTTTCTGAGACCCCCAGGCTCTACTTTCCAGGTGGATCCAGGCTAGAGCAATAGACTATGACCAGATGGGGGAAGCCTTTTCCAACACGAAGGGTCTGGCATCTGCTCTAGTACAAAAGCTTAGTATTTCAAAGATCAGGATGTAGCTTTAATATCATCTCCCTCACAGTCATGTGGGATAAGAGATAAGACCTGAGCACCAATATATTTCTTGAAGAGCACCTTTAAAAGCTAGGAGAGGGGCTGAAGAGATGGCTCAGTGGTTAAGAGCACTGGCTGTTCTTGCAGAGGACCTGGGTTCAATTCCCAGCACCCACATGGTGGCTAACAACCAACCACCCATAACTCCAGTTTCAGAGGATCTGACACCCTCTTCTGACCTCCAAAGGGCACTGCATGACACAGCTGCACGTACACATATGCAGGCAATACACTCATACACATAAAATTAAAATATTAAAAAAAAAATCTACAAGAGGCAATTTAAGAAGAAAAACATTTTAGTCAAAATGTCCTCTATTCCCTTCTCAGTGGAACTTTTCTAAGGACTCATCCTGACTCTCTGAAAGGGCTACACTGTACCTGAAAAGATGAAAATGCTAATCTGTAACCCCTTACCATACCCCCCCCCCAAGAGTTTTATAATGGGAAAGAAAAATCCTCTCCACCTGAATACCATTAACCAGCTGAGGAGAAGCAGGGGCTGCTCAACCCCACCCTGTAGCTGAGGCTATAGATGCAAAAGATTCACTCACACGTCATTGAACTCCTCCAGGGACCTTGCAGGTGTAAAAACATCCAGTAGACCAATCACCTGTGAGAACACATAAATATCAAAGAGTAAGTAAACCCTGGGCTTAACTCAGTTCAGTACCTGTCAGGTCTTAATGGCTTCAGGTGGAACTAATTCTAAGTCCAGCTACATCCCTCAGTTGCTTTACCACACCATGTACTTAGTGCTCCAACTGATTTTTTACCCAAATCATGTTTGTTTTCTATATGTTAACATCAGTACTTTGGGGGTAAAGGGTGGCGGGACTGAGACAAAGTCTCATGTGACCCAAGCTGGCCTGGAACTACTGACCTTCTGCCTCTACCACCCGACTGCTGGGACTATAACTGACACGCATCACCACACCTGGCCCATCATTGTTCATAAACCTCATTTTACCATGAAAAATTTGCATCTCTTTGGAATTTGTTCACATAGCCAATGGTTTATCAGAAGGTAAAAAAAGAATCAGAGTTCCTGACTACATACTGAAGTGAGCAGGGAAAACATCACACCTCCACTGCTGCTAGCACACCGGTCTGCTTTTTAAAATGCATCCATGAAAATAAAGACGTCAAAACTGACACTCTCTGCAGGCTGGGGAGATTTGATTTCTAGCACCCATGTAGAAAAGACAGATGCCAGCAGTGTGTGCCTATTCCCAGTACCAGGAGGCAGAGGCAGGCGGATCTCTGTGAGATCTAGGCTAGCCTGGAATACACAGCAAGTTCTAGGCCAGCTGTGGCTACAGAAGACCCTGTCTCAAAAAGACCAAATAAAATAATTAATTTCCCATCAAATTTCAGCTTCATAAAAAGGAAAATATTTATACTTGTATTTAAAAGCTTACCAGAATTATACTTTTTTTTTCCTTTTTTTTTTTTTTTCCTTCTTCTTTTTTTCTTTTTTGGTCTTTTTGAGACAGGGTCTCTCTGTAGCCCCAGCTGTCCTGGAACTCACTATGTAGACCAGGCTGGCCTTGAACTCACAGAGATCTGCCTGGTAGAGGCCTTTTTTTTTTTAAAAAAAAACAAAAAACAAAAAACATGTTATTTTTTTTATGTGTATGAATGTATTACGTGCATGTAAGTGCACCTGTGTCATACAATGCCCAACAGAGGTCAGAAGAGGGCATCAGATCCCCTAGTACTGGAGTTATGAGCAGTTCTTAGCCGCCATGTGGGTGCTACGAATTGAACCTGGGTCCTCTGTAAGAGCAGCCAGTGCTCTTAACCACTGGGCCATCTCTCCAGCCCCACAGAAGCAGTTTTACTCTGAAGAACCAAGACTGTAGTACAGTTGACTGCTTTGGGGCACCATCCAGGTTTCAGCTGGCTCTAGCCTGACCTCCAAAAAAATCTGCGTAAAATTGAGTTCTTAGGGGCCAGAATGAGTATGCAGTCTTCTACACAAAAATACCTCTTGCGCACATGGGCAGTTTATTGTGAGTTATGATATTGAGTGACAGGTACACAGTCAGAGCATGGCTAACCAGAGCTAGAGGATGCCTGTGATGGCAGTCACTCTAGGCAGTCAGCTGGCTGGTTCTTGATTGAACTTGGGACCTTCTCTCATTAGCACCTGCTCTAAAGGGTGATTACTGAGAGGCAGTCTGCCAGCTGCTACCTTCTGCTGTCTGGCCAGTGAAGACAAGGCCTGCCTGTGTTTCTTGAAATTTAAAAATAATGAAGAGAGTTGCTGGGCGTGGTGGCGCATGGCTTTAATCCCAGCACTTGGGAGGCAGAGGCAGGTGGATCTCTGTGAGTTCAAGGCCAGCCTGGTCTACATAGTGAGTTCCAGGACAGCTGGGGCTACAGGGAGACCCTGTCTCAAAAAAACCAAAAGAAGAAGAAGAAAAAAAAATGAAGAGAATCCTCACAAATTTGATTAGGAGCCTTAGATTTAAACTTACCATGGTAGAACAAGAGATTGTTTAGGCATAGTTTTGTTAAAGACATTAAATATTGTATTTGGTTGATTGTGGAGCTTAAGTGGGTTTTTTTTTGGGGGGGGTGCCAATTTATTAAAAGTTTTATTTCTGTCTCACAACTTCCAGACCATTGTAGGGTAATCATCAGAGATACGTACTGGCAGTTTATTTGTAATATACATGGCCTTTCTCAAATTCGTAGGACACTGAAATCATAGCAGGAAAAGGCTGAACAGAACACAGTGCTCTAACCAACTGAGCAGCTGGCCAGGGAGTGCTTGGAATTAAGAGGAAACTTCTAGTTAAGATGTGAGAAATGGACAGATTATGGAGAAGTTCTAAAATGTCCTCTTTCATCTGTTTTAATGCTGAGAAACTTGTTTTACAGTATTTTACTTCTGGTTAATACTTCATACATACACAAAAAATAGAAGATGGCTACTTCATAAGTCCTCACACACAAAAAATTAAAATGTTTTGATTTACATGCATGAATTCATAAAATTATTTTTGACAGGGCTGGAGACATGGCTTAGCAGTTTAGAGCAATGGCTGCTCTTGCAGAGGAGCTGGGTTCTGTTTCTAATACATGAGGAATATCCTTCTGTAGCTCCAATTCCAGGGGATCCGCTGCCCTCTTCTGGCCTCTGTGGGCATTGCACACATGTGGTACACATACATACATGCAAAGCACTCACATACATAAAATAAAAACAAATCCGTCAGGTGTGGTGGCACACACCTTTAATCCCAGCACTTGGGAGGCAGAGGCAGGTGGATCTCTGTGAGTTCAAGGCCAGCCTGGTCTACATAGTGAGTTCCAGGACAGCTGGGGCTGCAGGGAGACCCTGTCTCAAAAAGACCAAAGAATAAAAAAAATAAAATAAAAAACATGATGGTGTATTTTTTAAAACATTTTATTATTTTTATTTTTATTTTTTATGTGTGTGCATGTATTGCCTGCACGTAGGTAAGTACACCCATGTCGTGCAAAGCCCTCAGAGGTCAGAAGAGGCCGTCGGATCCCCTGGAACTGTAGTTACAAACAGTTGTTAGCTGCCATGTGGGTGCTGGAATTTGAACCCAGGTCTTCTGCAAGAACAACCAGTGTTCTTAACCACTGAGCCATCTCTCCAGCCCCCCATGATGGTGTATTTAAAAACAAACAAACAACAAACAGCCTCTACATCATAAATGCCTAACATGTTTGCAGAATAGGTTGAAAGGTGAGACAATTTCTATATTAAGTCAGTGTTCTCTCGTCTCTTTCCATTCCCCTTCATTCAACCACCCGCCTACCCTATTTCAAAATACAAACCACTGGGGCTAGAGCAATGGCTCAACAGTTAAGACTACTTGGTGTTCTAGAGGACCTGAGTTCAGATTCCAGCACCCAACCTGGAGCTCACAACAGCTCCAGGAGATCTAACACACTCTTCTGGCACCACCCCCCCCAAATCTCATGTTCAATTCCTAACACCCATATGCCAATTAACAACCATCTTAACTCCAGTTCCAGAGGATACGACGCCCTCTTTCTGACCTCCATAGGCACTGCGTGACACAGGTGCACTTACATATATGCAGGCAATACACTCATACACATAAAAATAATAGGGGCTGAAAAATAATAGGGGCTGGAGAGATGGCTCAGTGGTTAAGAACACTGGTTGTTCTTGCAGAAGACCTGGGTTCAAATCCCAGCACCCACATGACAGCTAACAACTGTCTATAACTCCAGTCCCAGGGGATCTGATGGCCTCTTCTTTCTTCACAGGCATTGCACGACACGGGTGTACTTACCTACATGCAGGAAATACACTCATACACATAAAATAAAAATAAAAAACGAAATATTTTTTAAAATAATAAATAAAAATAATAAAATATTTAACAAAAACCTCACAATTACTCAAGTTCCTTGTTTATAACGCCACAGTGTTTGCATGTACAACTCATGTACAGACTAGCATTTAAATCACTCTAGAGAACTCAGAATGTCTGATACAATATGCATACTATGTGAACAGGTCCCTACTGCTTTGTTTAGGCATTCATTACCATGTAAAACTGCACATGGTCAGGAGAGCCTTGTGGCTGGCTGACACAGAATCCATGGATACAGTGGGCCAAAGGCCCCTTTCCTCAAAGCCTTCCAGTGGAATAACCCAAGGCAGTAGAAAATAGGTGTGGATCCCCTTTTGGTAATAGAGCCTTAAGCAATCCAGGAAAGGAGTATAAAGCCTCCTTTCTATACTCTAAGGAAATCACACTGCGCTTCATAATGTGTCCTTTTTTCAGTGTAAAACAAGTGTTTTCCCTGAAGAGGCTGGAGTGAAATGACAGCTCCAGGACTTAACACCTTCACCCTCAGATTCAGATCTGACACCAGAGCACCATAACCGAGCTGCAAACCAGCCTGGTGGCACGGCACTGGGTCATGCTTCTGTGGTACCAGAACCAGCACCGCAGGGCTCACTTACGTTCTCATGTTTCATGTGTTTCAGCAGCCGCAGCTCCCGGTAGGTCCGTTTGGCGTGAATGATGGACTGAAATGGCCGGGACAGCTTCTTCACCGCCACACGCAGGCCCGTTTTTGTATCAAAAGCAGCGCTAAGGTAGGAGGGAAACAACAACAACAAAAATCTACCGTTAAAAGCACTCCAAATACTTTTATTTTGGTCTTTTTGAGACAGGGTCTCCCTGTAGCCCCAGCTGTCCTGGAACTCACTATGTAGACCAGGCTGGCCTTGAACTCAACAGAGATCTGCCTGCCTCTGCCTCCCAAGTGCTGGGATTAAAGGCATGTGCCATCATGCCCGGCCCAAATACTATTTTTTAAATATTTTCAAAGACTATTTCATTTCCAAATTAAATGTGTGTTAAGATACAAAAAAACAGACTAGAAATTAAGACAATGACTTATAGTCCCGAGACCTAGAGAAGCTCCTGTTATTTCTGATGCCTCCTTCTAGTCTTTTCTGTATCTAAGTCAAGGGTTGTGAGATTGTCATAAAAGTCCAGGGAGTAGGCTTTAGACTTTGTGAACCCTAAGTAAGGTCTCTGCCGCAGCTCAGCTAGCCGCAGTTACAGTTGGAAAGGAGCCAGATAATGATAACCTTAAAAAGGGTGTGGCTACGTTCTAATAAACCTCATGAAAGCAAGCAGCTGCTCATCCAAAGGGGCAGACACTATGCACCAGAGCTGGGCTGCCTGCCCCTCTCCAGGCCTCTCTGCTACCTTGCACTACATGCTGGTCAGAGCAAAGACCTGGGAAACCTCCCTGCTTTCGGAACGAGCTGCCACAGACATTTCCTGAGCACTTTGTAGCAGCCAAAATACACTAGGGAAGAAGCCAAGAAACCCCAGTGTTCAGAGCTTCGGGAAGAGTGACAGACAAGAAAACACTTTCAGATAGTAGTGTGACCACAGAATCAAACCCAGATGCAATGAAGGGTCACAGACAGCAGCAATTTCTGTACTTAAGCTAGGGTGCCAGAACCTTCGCATGGAGCCTCATTCTTTAGCCCTCAATTTGCTTCGTGATAACACTCCTGAAAAACTCCAGTCTTTTCTGAACCACAAAGACACCGTGAATCCTGCCATCAGAGGGCGTGTTGTCTGCCCAGGTACTTCTGGGTGGCGTGGTTAGCTTTGTACCATTAAGACCACTATTTCCATCTGTTTCCCCCAAACCCCTGCTCCCAACCCTGACAAACCACCCGCTCTGCTGCTGTTATCTACTGACTGGAATTATCCATCTCTTACTAAAAAGTCTCCCTCTGTTCCCAACTTTTGTCAACTTTCTTGGCAACTGCAACACCCAGGTGGAGGGCATATCCAGTGTCCTGTTTCCTGACCTCTCTAGGAAACGCCACGTCGTGTAGCCACCGTCAGGGTCACACCCCAGCCCTCTATCTGAACCCCAAACTGCCCCACCCACAGAACTCTGAATACCAACACCCTCTGGTACAAGGAACAACACTGCTGACCTATCCATCACATCTTCAGCCCTCCCCTGTCTGCATCCCTCTAATTGCTCAATAGTGCTAAGTATCCCCCTGTATCCTTCCCCCTGGATAAAGTCTAACCTTGGATGACCCCAACCCTTTAGTTACCCATGTCTGATTCAAAGGTTAACTATGGTTGAAGAATGTTCAATCAGACAGGCTGGTTCAATTTTTAACTTCTGATCATACTTTTAAATATGCCCTAATAGCGCCTCTCTTTTCTCATCAGGTCACTTACTACTCCAAAGTGTCACTTGACTTCACTCTCTCTCAAACCTCCAACTCCCTGCAAAGCTGCCCTTGCCTAGAAAAAATAGAATGCATCAATGCACACTCCACCCCCTAACCCTAGATCCATGCAGGCTCCACCCCCAACTCCAGCTTCCTGTAGGCTCCACCCCAACTCCAACTCCCCTGTAGACTCCACCCCCTTATCTAGCTCCCTGTAGGCTCCACCCCCAACTCCAGCTCCCCTGTAGACTCCACCCCCTAACTCTAGCTCCCTGTAGGCTCCACCCCCAACTCCAGCTCCCTGTAGGCTCCACCCCGCAACTCCAGCTCCCTGTAGGCTCCACCCCCAACTCCAGCTCCCTGTAGGCTCCACCCCCAACTCCAGCTCCCTGTAGGCTCCACTCCCTAATTCCAGCTCCATGCAGGCTGCTGCGCTCAGGTTCATCTCCTCCACCCTTTTGCTCTAATGCATCACACTCCTTCTGATCAGAAGGCCTCAATACATGTTTTAGAGCCATTCCTGCATCTTCATGGACTTCATCTCTATATTCTCTTTGCATTACCAATTCACTCTGGGTGTGTGTGTGTGTATGTGTGTGTGTGTGTGTGTGTGTTACTGAGAACTGAACCCAGGGCCTTGTGCATGCTGTGCAAGCACTCTACCACTGAGCTAGATCACCAGACCTCTAATGAATTGGCATAAATATGCTCTAAAAATTTCCCATCCCCATTAGCAAGCTTCTATGATGGCTCGCCATCACAGTTCAAAGTTCTCCAAAATTTGGAAATTCTCAAAGAATGGGATTCAGTAGTGTTGATTTCATCTGGGAATTTATATGAAAATTCCCAGGCACCATACCAGAGTTTCAAATCAGAACCTCTGAACAGAGTCCAGTGATTTGTATTTTTTCAAACCCTTCACGAACTTCCTGTGCTCCTAAACTACACCTCTGCCATCCAAAACGAGAGCTCCTAAACTACACCTCTGCTATCCAAAGTGTGCTTCCTGGACCAGCAGCCTTGACATGACCTGGAAACTCCTAGGAAGGCAGAATCTTGGCCTCTCAAATGAGTATCTGACAAATCTTCAGGTGATGCACACAGCTCTACACAAGCTACCTCTTAACTCCCGTTCTTCCAACCATACCACTACAATTGCTTGTTCCAGGTTCATTAACAGCTTCTGTAACCAAGTCCAAGGCCACAGTTCTGGATGAGCAACTTGACATGGCTGCTACTTCTCCTTCCCTATAGGAGTCCACGTCAACATTTTTATAGGCTTGCGAGGACCTCTGTCTGCACTGAGTGCTGTCCTCCTCCCTATGATGGAGTTCTTCAGGGGAGGATCCTGGGCTTCTTTTACCTTCTCCTAGACATCTCTAAACCTGTGCTATAGTATGAAAAGTCCTCTACAACAGGCTCTCGTGTTAAACGTTTGACTCCCAGCTGCTGGCACTATTTTGGAAGTTTCTTTTCTTCCTTCCTTCATTTTTTTTTTGGGGGGGGGTGCTCTGTTTTGTTGAGACAGGATTTCGTGCAGCCCAGGCTGGCCTCAAACTTGCTATGTAGCTGAGGATGACCTTGAACTCCTGATCCTAGGGTTACATATATGGTACTTGGGAGATTCTTGAAAATTTAGATGATGGCTCAGTGTGTGCTGTGTGTTGTGTGTGTGTGTATGCTTCCAAACAAGCCTAATGACCTGAGTTCAATCCCTGGAACTCACATGGTAGAAGGAGAAAACTGACTCCTAAAAATGTCTTCTGACCTCACACATACACGTGACACAGGCATGTATACACACACACACACACACACACAAATTTTTTTTTCCTTTAAATTTAGGAGGTGGGGGCCTCCCAAGAAGTAGGTCACTACAGATTGTTATCTTTCCCCTGTCTTTCTTGTCCCTCTGCTTCCTCTATGCCAAGAAGTGAGGAGCAGCCTAAGTCACACCCTCCAGTAGGATGCTCTACTCAAGTACATGGAGCCAGGCAACCATGGACTAAAGCCTTTGAAATGGTGACTCAAAAGTAGATCTTTCCTCCTTTAAACTATTTCTGTAGGGTATTTGGTTACAGAGATGACAAAAGTATACAACACATGATTTCAAATTAAATGCCATCTATATATTATGAACTCTCAAAGCTGTGTCTCTTCCCCAATATCTTCTCTAGGTTGCCTGCATGCCAGGCATTTTCATTTGAAAGACACGTAAGCACTTTGAACTCATCAAGTTGAAAACACCCAGAACTACTCCTCTCCTGTCACTGCTACACCAGGTAAAGGGATCACCCCTCTAACTGCTCAAGTCAGACATGTGAGTGTTATCCTTGCTCAGCGGATAGAGATGCTTGCTGAATTCGATCCCCAGGACCCATATGGTAAAAGAGAAATGACTCCCACAAGTTGTTCTCTGACTTCCACACTTATGTTGTGGCATGCATGTCTATTCCCCTCTGCATGCTAACTAAATGCAATTCTAAAATGAATAAAAATAAAACAAAAATTAGACCACATAATGCCTCTCTTTTAAGCTCTTGGCATACAAAATAAAATGCAAATTCCTTACCAAGGCCTATCAGACACAGATAAGATGGTGACTTGATGACCCCCCCACCCCCACTCCCCACAGGACCTGGGCTTGATGGCTTCTTTCAGTTCCTTTAAGTTCCTTACAGGCTGTTGCTAGTTCCTGCAACCCTACTCCCTAGTCCACTCCAGGACTAAATCTTTATTTAAGTACTGCTTAGATAACCCCTAAGAGAGAGACTCTTAAGAGGTCCAAAGCAGGCACTGTCAACTTTCACTGGCTCCTCTCCTTATCCTCACATAAAGAGAGGGGGAGGGAGAGATCATCTTTTCTCCCTTTGCTCTTATAAATGCATAAGAAAATAACTTCCTTCTCAGGAGCATACATGAACTTACTATTCTCTAAACTCAGTTCCCTAAACTGGCTTGAAAGTGGGGAAATGGCCTGTGGCTCCTATATGACCCAGTCTCTTCCACTTCTACTTCAGTCCCAGTACTATCCACCCCCACCCCCACCCCCAC